TGTATTTGAGCACAATGTGTCTTGCCCCAGAACAGATATATAGACCTTTTTCACAACGGCCGAAAGTGCGGCGATGTAGGGTAAACGTTACTCATGTTAATGCTTTTCTATGGCAAAATATCTGTGGAAATTTCTTGCGAATTTTCCACCAGCTTCATAAATCTGCCCCATCACCAAATCTTCAACCAAGAAAGTCAACAAAGGACATATTCTGTCCATGAAGGATTTTTCCACATCTATCAAGGTAAGAAAGACGAAAACGTAAAGGCGAACAACGACTAGCATGAGCAAAACTAACATTATGGTCATGAATAAACAACAAGTAACTTCTTAGCGCAGACTGATTCTAAACTTAATATATAGAGAAATTTGTGCAGTTTGAACGCTACAGATGTTCACAGATTACATGTCTAGCATTTAAACTGCACAAATATCTCTGTTTGTGCTAATATCTACATCATGAAATCGATATTTAATTTTAATTCTAGAATCAGTCTGAGTTAAAAAGTAACTTATTAACAAATTACTTATTACTTATGTTTTATTCATGACCATAAGGTTAGTTTTGCTCAATAGTAGTTCACTAATGCTAGTCGTTGTTCGCCTTTACGTTTTCGTCTTTCTTACCGTGATAGTTGTGGATAAATTCTTCATGGACAGAATATGTCCTTTGTTGACCTTGTTGGATGAAGATTTGGAGATGGGTAGGCAAATTTATGAAGCTGGTGGAAAATACATAAGACATTTCCACAGATATTTTACCATAGAAAAGCTTTAATGTAAGTGATGTTTACCCTACATCGGGCCACTTCCAGTCGTTATGAAAAAGGTCTATTGTATAAACAGCTCTTGAGGTCAAAATAGGTCTGCTGTGTACTGTCTGCATCTAATTATAATGCATTTTATTCTCTGATAATCAGGAACTGTATGTTAGCATGCTAGTTGCTGTTAGCTTTAATGTCAAGGCAAAACTGTTCTGGTCTCTGAAAGTTTGGTCTGGTCTGAAAAGTATTTATGAATCATTGCAGTGAATAATTAGGATGCTAAAAGGTGCACTTCGTCATTTGCTTTGCCAGGAATGTTCCACAGTATGAAATTAAACAGTTTGACTTTACATTTATTCAATTATCTGTACTTTTACAGCTGAAAAATACCCAGAAAAACAGGTATTGTCAGCGTGGTTGCCTTTTAAAAGATGTGGCCTGTAAAGGTCTGGTTTGGTCTCCATAAAAAGATTTAATACCAGACTGTGAAACATTCCAGACAAACCAGAAAAGTTACACAGTGCACATTTTAGGTAAGTGAAGAATAACTATGGACTACTGCAAACTGTTTAAAATGAACTAGCTCTGGTTTTCCCATTTTTAAGACAGTAAAAAGCCAAGCATAGCACCTGTAAATGTACAAGAATTATGAATGTCTTCCTTCCACCTGTAAAATTACACATCTCTACTTTCTGATTCAATCCTTTTTACTCCAAAACATGACCTTTTAGTAACCCCCAGAGAAGCACAAAATGATTACAAAAAAGCGCATTGCCCAGCCCTCGCTCCCAGCCTCACCTTGCTAATTGTCAAAGGGCAAATCACAGAAGCTCCCTTAATGACATATCCCATTCTAGCTCAGTGGAATAGGGCCAATCATTACGTTGGCTGCAGAATTGTGTGGGTGGCACCAGGTTCACCATAGAACTTAATTGGATTGAGCTGTAGTTACGAATGTGTAATTTCTGAGAGACAGGATTTTCTTAAAATAAGGTTTGATAAGGTCACCAGAAAGCTAAGGCACGCGGAAGGTAATGATGAGAAATGTCTTTTTGCGAACAAACTCATTCTAGTCTGGTTTAATTTGCCCTGAAAAGCAAAAAACGTGGACTTGTTTGGATTTAATTTAGCTCATAATGTCACCGTGTCAAGTTTTAGTGAATGAATATATTTTCTTTTAAGATGGTGGATGCTTTTTGTAATATCTGCCGTACAAAAGCTGTCATTGAAACAAACCACTTGGGTGTGTCCCTGCAGCAAATACAATGGCGTTTTGACAGAGAAGTGATACAGGCACAAAGGTAATGGTAATGACTTTGGGAAAGCACTTTGTTGTTCCATTACAGCTTATTCAAATCACTTGACGGTTTTTACTTTTCATTTTTGTGGGGTTTTTTTTACGCTCCTGCCTCGTCTCACTCAATTTACCAATAGCATCAAAGATTTATGAGCAATTTCGTGTTTCGAGGCTTCACATTTTGCTGAACTGCCATGTTTTCAGGTTTCAGTGTTGCTTCGTCAGTAACATACAGTATATACATATAACATACTTTCACACTGTTGTAATAGGCATGATACAGGTTCCATAGGTTTACATCACAACACTTCTTCCTTCTACTAAAATTGCTCCAGTGTGATTTAAAAACTATGAAGCGTTCAGGACATGGACTTAATTAAAAGTCCAATATTACACACAATTAACTCCTTTGGGTTGTGCCATGTTAGAATCAAAAATACCACATCAAAAACATACCTAGAGTTGTGTTTTGTTTCATTCACACCTGTCTGAGTACCGTATTTTTCGGATTATAAAGCGCACCGGATTATAAAGTGCAGTATCAATAATGTTGAATTCTCTCATCTATTTTCATACATAAGGTGCACCGGATTATCAGACGCATTAAAGGACAACACTTCAGACTGATACCTTAGCCCAGGCATCCACGATCCATTGGTGAATGTGTATTATGAATGTGAACGTGGGTGGATAAGTTTTTTTTTTTTTTATTTCCTGTGAGGAGGACTCAGATATACATTGAGTAATAATGTATTTAATGCATCTTACAGAAATGAAACTTAAAACCACATGGCTAATTTGCATAAAGTATAAGCGCTGAAAAAAAACAACTCGCTACTTGTGTCTTGAAGCGGTCAATTTCTGTCAGACAAGGCTCCTGACTACAGTAGCTGTAATACTCCGACAATCCATCAAGCATCCAGGCTTTATAGTTTACCAAAGTCATATTGAAAACATTTTGACAGATTTTTGAACTCTACGTACCACATAAAATCGGTTCGAGGTCAGTAACCACAACCAGAATTAATAAATAAGAAGCACTGTCAATTTCTGAAAAAAAATTTAAGGATTTTAAGTGTGTCTTATAATCAGAAAAATACTGTAATCCTTTATTATTAGTCTGTCTACATCTCCAAAGCTCAGAATGCTCTGTTCCACCTTGTGATATTATGATGTTGTCATTTTCAGATTAACAGCTACCTTTTACCTTTAGTTCAGCAGAGATTGGCAATTCCAGGGCTGAAATTATCCAAATGATTCTAGTGAAGCTGTATGGAGTTTAAAAACACAGTGGAGCACTTCCTGTATTACCATATGACATCACAAGATCAAGTGTTTTCTGTTAAAGAAAATAACTGCCTAAATATGCAAAGCTGTGTGAATGAGACAAAACATAAGGTCTGTTTTTGATTAGGAAAATACATTACAAAATAGATCAGAAAATAGCTCAATATGGGCTCTTTAAACAACTGTCCAACCATCGTTCTGTTAGAGAAAACTTCACGGTTCCACAAGCCGCAGCCAATGCCATGTTTGATTATCAGTAATTCAGGAGTAGTTGCCTTGAACTGTGGTCTGTGAATGATGTACCATTGAATTTGTGTGACTACTTTACAATGGAGATACTCAGTTTAATTGTAAGGGGCACTAAATTCTCTCAACAAAGATGTCTGTTGGTCAAACTTGTCTCATTGCTGAACTTCTCCCTCCTCCCACTGGATCTGAGGTGGTCCTTATAGAGGCTAAGCACATTTCCCTGTCTACTTTATAGTGGCTATTGCATTGTTTGGTGCAGGGAGCCAATTCCTCTGTAATGAATGGTATTCATGACTGTGCGTGGAACGACTGCCTTATTCAAGCGAGGATCGATAAAGTGTTTAGACATTTGCATCTTTTACCCAGTGTGGACAAAGAATGTGCGCTTGTATACATGATATTTCAGGCACTGCACTGTTGAAGTAGTATTTTACATATTTCTTTCTTAAAGAGCGGGTATTATGCAAAATTGACTTTATGGAGCTCTCTACCCTGTTATAATGTTGTTTCCTCAACAAAAGCATACCCGAAGAGGTTTTAGATTAGAGTTTTAGTCATCCATATATGTCTGAGTAATCTAGCGATCTCTTCCAGGCCCTATTTGAACCCTCCTTTCCACAAGCAGTACTATTTATATATATATAAAAAAGCATGATACAAAACAATATGTTGCAACTTCACAAACCTGATGTAATGCGCGGTAGCTTCATTAGAGAAACTTCGACTGTGTTGTGAGCGCTCTGAAGGGGGAGTGATGGAGGGGGTACTCGGAGTGTCAAAAAATGAAAGTGAACCTTATAAAACATGTTAATATGTTATTTTGGGTGAATATAGCATTTTCAAAACAATAAAAGTTAACATCATGACCTACATATGTCATGTGTTTGCAGTTAATATCCCATAGAAGTGTAATAAGTCCCCTCTTTAAAACCACTGTTAGGCACATTATTTTCAGTCATAACTTTGAGCACCACAAGAAGAATAATGAATGTGTAATTAAAGGTGCACTGTATAATTTTTCAGTTGGGGGTCTGACACCTTCTTGTTTCTATGGATATGTCATTGTTCTGCTTAGAATGTTCCACAATATGGCATTACAGAGAGCTACCTTACATTTATTAAATTACAGGTGGTTTTAAAACTCAAAAATACCTAGAAAAATGGGCATTCTGAATGTGAGCAGAGTTGCGTCTCCACATCTGGTTTCTCCATGAAGATAGAAATGTTTAATGTCATACTGCAAAACATTCCAGTCAAAGCAATAACATCTCCGTGAAGAAAAGCATTTGATTGACCCTCTACCAGAAAAGTTACACAACGCACCTTTAAATTGAGAGTAACATTTTAAAGTAGAAAATGCTTTACATGAATAAGAACATGACTTGTGGAGACCATACACTCACCTCATTGGTGGACAGAACAGTGTCTTCATCCAGACTAAGGACAGCGTCTGTGGCAATGGCATCGTGTGGGAAAAAACGGCTGGTTATCATCTGAAAAGACAAAAAGATCTAATATAAATATTTATTATTTATACTGTCATACATGGACAGAAACAGCTCTGAAAATGAGTAAACATACTTCAAATCCTACACACAGTCCTACACAGTATTACAATAGTTCCCAACAATCAATTTGCATACATAAACATCCAATTACAGTCTCACATGTTTGAGCAAGCGCTGGTTCGTGTATTTTGAGTAATCTCTCTACGTAATTGAAATATGTTTAGTGACGTTTGTGTATTTATGTTCAACACAGATTTAGTGTCAGAAATAAAGTAGAAATTGAATTAAAAGCCCCCCAGGGTGATATTAAGAGGCTTAATTTCCAAGTGGCACCACAAATATTCACAAGGTTAACGTCTTCTTCCAGTCAAAACTAATGGGCCTGTCGACAGCAGCAAACTCGTCAGGAGATTAAGGACAACATCAAATGAAAATAACCGCAAAGCTCCCAAATTCCTTTAAATTATCCAAGTGTGGCATAGAAAATACACGGTGACTTTAATCACAGCTTAAAGTAGAGAGCCATGAAGGATAATGTGTTGTGACTGGCTGGTTGGATGGTGTTTCATTAGTCATTTATGGAGAAAGTTTAATTAGCTGTGGTAAATTAGTAGCACCCAACATCGATTTTTGTCAATTTTTGGCAATGGGTCAGTGGGTCATCTTGCATTTGTAGGTCAAAAGCAGAAATGCAATATGGTTATATATAAAAACAAAGCAAGCTTTCATGAAAAATAGATTCTTGGCTTAATCTCAAGATCTATCAGTTAGTGGCTCTCAAATATATCACACAATTTTGGAAAAGATCTGGATCTAAACTGGTTCATAATAGGACATTTCCAGGTCTAAATTAAAGCTAAACCAAGTGTATAGTAGATCTACACTATTGTTACAAGAGTTCTAAAGAAAAAAATACGGAAAATGGATAAAGCAGATTCTAAATTAAGCAAACACTGAAACTGCAAAGGCATCCGTGTACTTCAGTTTGAGAAACGCTGGTCTACACCACTTGCCAACTATGAAAGAGCTGACTGTGTACCCAGTATAGACATAGACAGTGGCAGAGTTTAGTGTGGCTACCTTTGAGCAAGGTATTTGTGGGTTAAATATCCAGGTCACCTTATCAGCATGCAAGTGAATGAAAAGTGTATGTAAAAAAGCAAAAGTTTAAAATCAGAACATACATCTTCTTTGCCTTGAGCACGTTTGTTAGTTTTAGAGATTTATTGTAGGAACTGGTTTCAATTAATACATTTCCCAAACAATAACATTTATAAAGTAAACAAACCAAAAAAGTCCAAAAGGCAAGACAAACTTCTGAATTCAAGTCAATTTAACTTGTAAGTACTACTCATATTAGAACTATACACACCAATTTAGTATCCCATCCCAGCATTTAAGCCCATTGTCACTCATAACTAAACCTACGTGAACCTTCATTGCCCTGCTCTCCATCCGTCCCCTGCCCACCTGGTGCCTGTTATGGCCGCTCGTCTTCCTCCGGGCGTCCATGGATGCCCTTTGCCCCAGAACAGAGATTAGATCCTGCTGAGATCAGGGGGACAGTTCAATGGTGCGGACCTTATCTTTGTGGCTCTCTTTCCAGCTATTTCCTCTTTTTATATCCGCCGTGACTCCTGCCTCTTCCACAGGGGCCTTTTGGAGATGTACCGACCTCCCTTTATGTCTTCATGTCAGTAATTTCAAGTTTAAAGCCCAAAGTATCACAAAGCTATCTGGGACATGATCGTAACAGACTGATCCCTGCTACCAACACTGATGAGGATGATATTGGTGCATTACTGATGTGAAATGTTGTATCTTGTCCCTAACTGATCTGCAGTGCGCAGTGTGTACTTGCTCAAAATACAACTTTGAAGGTATTTCTCGAACATTCTGTACTTTCTAAACTTTATAATTTAAATAGGCAAAATATGAAGTCAATAGGCACTTAGTTACATGGTAGACATTCATTGCGTATACTGTACGTTTACTGAACCTCAAAATAAAAAAAGAAAACGTTTAAGTTGATGCCAGAGGAGAATAGCCAAGCCGGTTTGAAAAGGAATATTTGCTCACTATAATAATTATTGCAGTAAAGTTGTCTGTACTTGGTCAATGCACAGGTACAGATTCATGCATGTGCTTGTGGTTACTGTGGAAACCAAGAGGACAGTGTCTCAGTAATGTGATAGGAAAAATAAATTATGTAAATGTACTCTATGTAAGATTTCTGTTGGACGCTCTGCCAACTGCTTGACTCCATGTGGAGATTATGCTTTGCCAGGAATATTCCACTGTATGGCATTACTTTTTTCAATCTTGTGTTTATTCAAGTATAGTATTTTTACTGCTAAACATTTATTGCTTGGATAGATAAGTTTAATGCCATAGTGGGGAACATTACAGGCAAAGCATTAGTATCTCCATGGACACAAGCAAGTGTTGTAAACTCCACCAGACATGCAGGTTGGATCGATGTTTTCAGAAGAACAGTTCAGAACAGGATAATTGAAATGCACACTACTGATTTTTATTGGTGTCTCTTTTAATGTTAGCAAAACGACAAACTGGTCAATATCTCGGATTCACTCATAGTGTATACATATATATGGAGATAGCTAACCCGCTAGCTACCATGTTCCAAATAGGTAGTGAGTACGGAGGAGCTTCCAGCTCCATTAACTCTGGCTACAAATGACTTTACATTAAAAAATGATCACCCCTCTCTCTGTAACTGCTGGAGTGAGCCTTGTCATTTTGGTCTTAAAATGTTTGTATTAACCCAATGTACATGATTGTAGTGTTTTTATTTCACTATTATGTCTATGAATACATTTCTTTTCCTAACATGTGGTGTTACCTGCCTAGGGACTACAGATGGAAATTAGCAGTCTTGCTATAATCTGGCATATTTACACTGCAATGTTGTAGATGTTCATTAATATGCACTGTCCCTATTAAGTAAATAAATAAATAAATACATAAAGACAACTTCTTTATACACTCTGGATTCACTCAACCTGTAACCCCAATGTGCAGACAGACATTGAATGTTTAGCTGAATTTTCCAATCAATAACCATATACACAAGTAAATTTGGCTTTACTAACTGTCATTTGTCTTTATTCCCAGCATTGTAAACACATATGACCTTTCATTAAAGACTACTCCAGCCATGTCCCTTTCAACACGCACTAATCAGAGGTCATTTCAAGTTAACCCAATGCCATCAATCCCCAGGTGACCTGTGTGCCCTGCCCTTGAGCCAAACCAGGTTGAGGGTTTAACATCTGACCCTCTCGCTTCTTTGGTATCATTAAAATGCAAACGTGAGCAACAAAAATCAATCTGAAACAAAAATCTGTCAATACAAAGTTGTCCAAACATGTGACTATGTGGGCCAGTTGATGAAGATATATATGTTAGTATTGATGGCAACTGGATTCAGTTTTATGGTAAAGTAGAATGAGTATGTCTTTTATAGGAAATGAAAAGGTATATAAAGTGTATAGCAATGACAATCAATGTAATGCAAGTCATAGAGGTTACAGGGTATATGGAAAAGGTAAAATGTAATAACATATGAAACAAAAATGTAAGTGAATGTGAGCGCAATGTAAGATTAAGGTATCAATATATTATTACTCATGAATGTGTATACTAGTGATGCGTTTTTAAGATAAAATAATAAGATAAGATAATCCTTTATTGTCTCTCATGGGAGAAATTTCCCATGGGAGAGGGGATCACGTGTTTTATCACAAAGACAGGACAACACAACAACAACAAAAGCACCATACAAACATCCACCATAAAACATAAATGAATAAGAGACCAGGTATGACCATGAGTGATACACCAACAGGACCTTTAAGTCAGTTTTGAGACCTGGAACCATTCGAGACAGATTTGAATACCTACTACATAATGAGAATAACTTACTTGGCCTCTCAAAGCAGTGCGCTGTAAGTTACTATTGTAGCTGCTTTATTGTACCTCTCTGACCACCCCCAGCCTCTCACATACTCACATCGCTTTCATAGGTTTACTAAGCGGGTGAAGTGTCCTGCCTAAAAACACAATGGCAGAACTTGGAGCAAACAGGAATTGATCCTCTGACCTTCAGGTTGGGGGACCATTGCGCTCCAGTGACCCTCTAACCACTAGACCTGCCACAATAAGAAATTCTGCAGCACTATATTTTGCGACAGAGGAATATCATGATAAACAATCATATTTAAACTACTTTATGCCACTGACACAAGTAGGATAATCCCACTAAACCATTATTTAAATAGACAGTATCATTAAAAGGCTTGAGCTGCAACACATAAATAGCAGAACAAACTAATAATTAGCCATAATTAGGCTAGAAGTGATTTATTCAACCCCCCAATGCTCAAATCTTTTTGTATTACAACTGAAATAACTAAAATCTCCACGACTGAATTGCAAAGAAAATGTAAACACGATAAATATTGAACCCCAGAATGTATAGTTCCAGCTTTCGTGCATTGAAAGATAACTCGATATTGTAATTATTGTGACAGCCCTCACTGCGCTTCCTCTTTTCATGGTTTGAAAATCATATATCCCCTTTAGATATTTTTAGATGTAGCATTGTCATACACATAAAAACTACTGTGAAAAATGCCACACAAAATGCTAAACATCACGATTTAATAAAAGGTAATCTAATTTACAAATACTTAGAATATTTATCTTGACCATCATCAGATATGCACCTCCAACTCATTACACTACCTCATTGCACAATGCACCACAACATAAACAAGACCATTAAGTATTGCCCAGAAGACTAACAGTGTACTATGTGGGTATTACAAAGTCGTGCTAACTGCCAAATAACCTGCTGATAGTGACAAACTGTGATGTTATTACAATGAGAACAACACAGCATCTGTCTGGTCTGTGAACACTGCACCACACGACACATTATAGACCCATAGACGCTCCAACACTTACAATGATTGCTTTTGGATGAATGTAAAATGAATACAGAGCTTGTAGGAGTCATTTACATAGAAACAAACAGTGGCAATTAGTCGACATCGCCATAGGACCCAGCACAGGGACGCTGTGACTGACAACATTTGTTTAGGCTGAGTGGGTTAAAGCCCGGCCGCTCAAATAAAGATCACAAGGCAATTTTCTGCCTCTGATGAGATGTTTGGTCACATGACATCTGCTAATATGGAACAGAGTAAACAGGCTATCAGCAAATGGGAGATGATCCAACAAAGTCATGCCATCACCGCTGCTAGGACTTTAGATTTCACTTTCTGTCAATTATCATATCAGTATTTGCATTTGAGCAAACTGTACTTATTGTTAATTAGTCACGATAGGATCAACAATAACTTGAATCTACACCTAAATCTTTATTTAAAGGTGAAGGTGATGTTATTGCTTTGCCTCAGAATGCTACACAGTATAGCCTTAAACATCTATCTAGCATATATTGCATTATAGTTCATTTAATTGCAATAAATACCTTGAAAACATGTATTCTTACTAAGAATGTAATGATATCCAAATTTCTCAGTACGATATTTTCAAGATATGCATCTCACGGTACAATATTTATTGCGGTATTAAGTAGAACCTAACAATATTATGAATACTTTTCTTTTTAAAATGTCTTGACAAGCCTTTGGTTCTGTCATAAACCAAAGAGTTAAGATCTAAAAGTGCTTAATAAGTTATTTCATCAGGTAAATTGGACTGAAACAGAGCAGAGGATCATGGTCTATATAGTTCCCTCTGTTTCTTTTAGCTATTGCTGTGTCAAAACAATGAATTTAAAGGTTGTATGGAGGATTTTTTTTGTTTCAAATTGTCAATGATAGCATTATAGAGATGCAGTAGCCTTGTAATTATGAAGACCAAAAAAAAGAGAATAAAAATTCATCAACTCTGGACGTGGTGGGGCCAGCTAAACATTTGCCAATAGATAACGACATTGCCTCGTTATCTGTTAGCTGACAGGCTGTCAATCAATCTCCCTACGTTTCTAGCGTAACTGACTTGCCTGCGCGCCGCCGGTACGTGGTTTACGTACGCCTGTCACGCAGTCCACAGACGCAAGCCGCACAGACGCTGTTTACTCCACCAACGCAACAGTTCTTAGCGGCTTTTTTTTACCTATATCTTCCTCGCAGTTAGCACAAAGTTTGTTGCAATGGCAGACAAGAATCCAGGAGCAGTTCGCCGCAAAAGAAAGTCCGTTTTTGAGATTGCTGAAAGAAGAAGACAAGGGGAAAAGCAGCGAAGCCAAACTAAGGTGATTCTTGAAGATTCATTCCAGCGATGGCGCGACTGAAGCAGACGCAGGGTCTAAAGACTGACGCATTGGTCGCCAAATTACTCCTGGACAGGTCACTTCTGCTTATTATGAAAACATACTTTATTTCCAAGAGCTAGACAAACGTTTTTCAGGACACGAAAGCGATATCCTATGTCTGAAAACGTAATTTTCAAGGCAAAGAAAGAGTCCGCTTGCTGCTGCGTGTTGTAGCTAGTTCATTCGCACTGAATCTCCGCGCAACCTTCTCTGCACCCCTCTTCCCTGCTCCTCACTCTCCCACTCTCCCTCTCTCCTCTCCCTGCTCCCTGCTCCGCTCTTCCCCCCGCTCCTCACTTCTCCGCCTTGCCTAACCAACACTGTAGTTAGTTGTTTACAAGTCATGTGCAGCGCACCGGCTGTAAACAAACCTGTTTCTGGCGTAAGGAGGCGTTTCTACGTAGGGAGCTGTAGGGGAGGGGGGGTGGTTTCACGCATGCGCAACATTTGAAAAAGGACAAACAGTTGCTGGATTTCTCGTTCCTTGGAAAATCCTCTATACAACCTTTAAGCAAAGAAACTTGTAATTCGATATATTTTGATGGCCCACAATATTATTGTGAGACATTTGACGATACAATATCCCTAATTCTTACTGTTACTGGAGTCGCTTCTTCACAGATCTGACTTCAAACTTGGACTGGTGACGTCTCCATGAAGATTGATCAGTTTAATGTGGTAGATCATTCCAGCCCAAGCCAATAACATCTCCCTAAATACAAACAGGTGGTGAGGCTCTACCAGTAAAGTTACGCAGTGCACCTTCAAATACATTTTTCCAGAGCAGAATAGGATAAGCAGTTTTAATGTATTTGTTTTAAATGTGCACTATAACTTTCTTTCTAACTATAAGGTCAGATCTGTGGACAATCAAGCTTGCTCACAATAAGAATGTTTCTTTTCTGTGCATTTTTGAGCAATAAAACACCTGTAATTGAATAAAGTGGCAGACCCCCCTCCAGAAAAGTTACATGGTGCACCTTTAATGCACATATTATGGTATTTCTGCCAACAAATCCCACACTACATACAAAAAAAAATTGACCATTATTATATTTCCAAATTGAATTCTATTTTTCAGCTTCCAAAAAAGTTTGTAATATTGGTCACAGCTTTTAGGGCACAAACACAACATGTCTTCAGTAAAAATGATAGTTGATTTGCTGCCTCAAAATTACACCCTGTCTGGACACAGCCTCCAATCGCCACAGACGCATGAAATAGTTTGTTTACCAGTATTTAAAACCACCCAGCCGAACTTTGCTTTAACAATTACAATCTCATAGAGCATTAAATTGGGCACAACAAAACAGCAGCGCACAAAGGACACACAATTATGGAACAATTATGAATTAAATGAACATAAATGTCTCTGCTACAGCAACAATCTGTGCAGTCTGTTTGCTGTAATTTCATTAGCAACTTTTGAAATCTTAACAATTAATCTGTTTTGGATGAGAAATGATTTTAAACGTTCACCTACTGTTAGACTGATTTGAGGGCTTTTATTTTAGTAATGACGCAGGTGTGAGGGGGCAGTGTGCTGGGTTCAGGCAGCACTCAAATCAAATGACGCCCACACACTGATGCAAGGGTTAACTCTGCCACAATCATGAAAGACACCTGAGGATAGTAACAGGCTTCAAAAAACACAAAATAGACTGAGATATACTGGAAGGCCATTCTATTGATAGTTGTCTAATAAATTTGTATAGTAAGAGTTGTAAAGTTCAGTGGTAAATTTAGATTAACACTTACAATGGGGCAATAGTGATGAAAGAAGTTGATTAGGACAGACCGTAGGCCATTGTTTCCCATAGACTGGGTCGCAAGAGTTTTTTGGGGGTCGCCTTGTCACAATCTGCATGTAGGTCTACAACATACAGTTCAACAGACTATTTTGTTCCAGTATTGCTGGTTCAATTGAATCTTGAAAAGAAAAAGAATTGGGCTACATTTGATTTCCAAATAAGCGACTTATGGGTATTTTTATTTATTTTTTTGCTGGTTCAATGACTGTTTTACATTGTTTAAAACTTGACTATTACTAATTATTCAGAAAGACATGATCACTCAGTCAATAAAATATCCTCATTAATGTATAATAATAATAATGTCTATAGACTTGGGTCACAAAGGTTTGTGACTTTTAAAATATGAGTCCCCAGAAAAAAAAAAGTTTTGGAAACACTGCTGTAGACTGTATAACCCACTAGCTGCAGTGTTCCAAAAAGGAAGTGATCATGGGCATGCTTCCCATTCTGTCAACTCTGGCTCCAATTGGCTTTACATAGAAAAATTGTCACCCCTCTCTCCATAACAAACTGCAGTGAGCCTCGTCATTTTGGTCTTAAAATGTTAACCCATTCTACATGATCCTGGTGTTGTATTTCGCGATTTTGTCCGTAATTAAATTCCTATTCCTATTCCTGATATGGATTTGGCTCTGTATTTGGACCTGACTGGAGCTGAACACTATGGGTGATACCACACTTTCTTAGTCCACTTCTTTACACTGTATATAGGACCAATGTATAACAACATCACATATCACATGGTTTCTTTAAGGACATCAATAGTAGAGAATGACTCCTTAAATCATAGGCCTGTCTTTTGTTACCCAACTCAAATAACAGTGACTACTTTTGACCAATGAGCAATAACTTTGAACTGATGGAATACGGTCAGATACATAATATTTTCTAACATTACATACTGTAAGTGATTAATACTTTGGGAAAATGTAGGCCTATACTTTATAAATTTGAAATTAAGCACACAAAACCAAAAACAGACAAAAACAAAACAAAAACCCTCCCACACTCAACACATACACAAAACGACACAAAAAACACTACGTGCACAAACATCAAACACCAGTCAAATCCAGTCCTGTCAACATTTTCAAAAAAGATATACTGATTGTGTAGGAAATGTATACTTTTTTACTTGTTTTGTAAAAAAGGTGGAAATAACCATTTGAATAAAAATTAGCCTAAATTGGAATGGCAAACTATTTTGAAATGTTTACTGTAATGTCAATTTTTCATTTTTTCCAGATACAACTGTGAAGGTTGCCAAAATGAATTTCTGCTTTGGCTTTTTTGTGTAGTGATTTAGTATTTTCTCACTTTTAGGATTCTACACTACAGCTCCATTTTTATACTTAAGCAACAAACATTTAGACACCACCAGAAGGACAACGCTGCCATTTCTGATCCAAAGTGTGTGCTAGAGTACTTTAAAGGACTTTACAAAGCCTGTTTATGAAGCGGAGATTAGATGCTTTCTAGTTTGTAATTGCACAACAGCGGGCGGGTGCTGGCAGCTGTTGCTTACCTGGTTGTGTCCTTGGACGACAGAGAGAGGCACACTGGTGGAGGGCCACTTGTTCCTCTGAGGTAAAGGCTTGTCACAGTTCCACAAAACCACGATCTGTTTGAAACACACAACGAGAAGGTTAATAGGCCCCGCACTGAGAGAATAAAGAGGTTTCCAGAACCACTTTCCTGACGCCGAGCCCACATGAGGACACAGGACGGCTTGAAAGGAGTAAAAGTAAAAAGAGGGTCTGAGGTTGGGTTTTTTAGGTGATCACAATTTGTAAGCACTTATTTACGTAAAGGCCCTATATTAATACACCAAATTTATTCTTCTAAGCTTTAAGTTGTGTTAGAACATTGTTACCTCCTCAGAAACACACCTAGAGTTGTGTTTTGTTTCAGCCACACATGTTTGAGTAATCCTTTATTATTAGTCTGTCTACATCTCCAAAGCTTAAAATCCTCTGTAGTTTTCGTTGACAGTTGACAGTTACCTTTTACATTTTGCTCGGTAGAGATTGGCAATTCCAGGGCTGAAATAATCCAAATGATTCTAGTGAAGGTGTATGGAGTTTAAAAACACCGTGGAGCTTCCTGTTTTAACACATTACATCCTGAGATGGAACAGAGTGTTTTCTGTTTGAGAGAAGAACTCGACAAAACACAACTCTGGATATGTTTTTGATGAGGATTATACACTACACTGAAATGGAGCAAAGGATCATGGTCTATGTAGTTCGCTCTGTGTTTTTTTAGTTATTGCTGCACCATAACTCTTAATTTAAGCAAAGAAGTCTTGTAATTCGATATATTGTGATGGTCCACGATATTACTGTGAGAACTTTGACGATGTGATATCACGGTATATCGGTTATTGTTACATCCCTAGTCTCCATGGAATTTACAGGTGTTTTTATTGCTAATTTCTTAAAATATGTATTCTTAGTATGAACTGTCTCTTTAACTTACAACTCGGCTTGCTTGTTTCCATGGAGATAGATAGGTTTAATGCCATACTGTGCAACATTACAGGCAAAACAATAACATCTCCATTGAGAAAAGTTGGTGGAAACTCCATCAGAAAAGTTTAAAATGATTATATTATATGATTATTTAACTCTAACTAAAATGATTGTACTCATTTCAAAACAAACTGGGAGAATAATGATTTTTGCAATTTTTGAACTGAATTTCCATAAGATTTTTTGCATTAGAAATTCCTCGTTCCAAAGATGAAATGCAAACAACAAAAGACATTGACTTTAAATATCTTCTGGTTTAGATCCCCATTACAATAATATATTTGCAACCAGTATTTTATCTCATGCCTAGCCCTTTAAATCAGACAATGATGTGTACTTATTACTTGCTCTTCAAGCCAGCCATTAATTCATCTTTTCATCTACTATTTACCTACTAAATTAACTCCACAGTGTTCATAATAGACCTCCCTCCTGAGGTAAATAACCAGTCTGTCTCACTTTGTTAGATATAGCACTATTAACCGCCATTAGCCCCTGCCTTTGTTATCCTGCTCCCACCTGTGCACAGAACTTGGACTTGGCCACAGCGATGATGAGCTTTAACACAGGGGAGATCTGGGCCTGGAGCGGTGTTACTGTGTGGATGACCGCTGTGAACTGCTGCATGGGGCTTTTACCTGCAAAAACACACACAGAAAATACACAAATATAACAATACTATATAGTGAAGTGATCGTATATGCAGTTGTAGGTAGTTTTGGGGGGATCGGAGGAGCGCTGGGCTGCACCTGTCATCCATCTTCGTGACAGGGGCCGTAGTAGAGCTGCACATGAGCGAGCATTAGTAAACATGTCCAAACCAGGAGCTAAAGCATAACTATAGGAGGCACTTTCATCTGAGTGTGAATGATGGACTGTGTATTTGCTGCCATCTATTTATTTTGGAAAATCTATCTTCATTCATTAATTAAATATTGTCAAATTCTCTGCATGTGCGTAATGGTTAGGAGGCAGAATTATACTATATATTAACACGAAAAGTAAAATGCAACATGCAAATCACAATAAACATCATGGAAAGTTGGGCATTGTACAGCTCCTGGCCACATACGACCCTTTGGTTGACTCTGACAGGCCCCTTTAAGCTAATTTGGTATTACAAAATAAACATGTTTTATACTTTTACCTCATGCATGGACTAAAGCTGCATTACTTTTATTTTAGAGGTGATTTGTAATTGACATTTTTTGTAAGGCAACCTCACTTTTTCATTGCTTAGTCATAACATAAACTCTTACCGGTCTTACCAGCTTGTCAAAACAATGCTATTTACTGCTTTTTATAAAGAAATACAATTAACATTATGCAGAATTGAGTTAAGCATTTTGGCCCGGCCCTGCACAATATTTTCTCTTTCCCCATGGAAAAAATTACTGCCCACCCCTGGGTTATTTAACTGGGTTAATACTACTCCTACTACTGAAAATACTACCACTACTACTGACTGTATTAAGGATGTATTTCAAATAGAGTGTAAGAACAACATAATGTTAAAATGCAAACAAAAACAATGCCCATACTCAAGAAATAATGAGTAATGGATCATTAGTCATGATAATAGTATAATTATGTTAAAATTAAAAAAACAAAATTGACTCTTGTGGACTTTACGTCATGTTATAATGTTACCACATCAAAAACAGACCCAGAGTTATATTTTGTTTCATTCAAACACACAGTAACCCTGGGTACCTACATTCCCAAAGCTCAAAATGCTCTTTGCCACCCGGTGATGTCATCTAGGGGTAGTTTTCAAGTTAATAGCTTCTTTTTACCTTTAGTTCTGTAGAGTTTGACAATTTCAGGGCAGAAATTATCCAAATTATTCAAATGAAGATGTATGAAGTTTGACAACACAGTTGAGCACTTCCTGTATTACCACGTGACATCAAGAGGTGGAACACGGTGTTTTCTGTTTAAGAGAAGAACTGAGCCTAAATATACAGGGTTTGTGTGAATGAAACAAAACACAACTCCAGGTATATTTTTGACAAGGAAACAACATTATGACAGATCAGAAAATAGCATAATATAATTTAATTAAATTTAATGGGTATTACTCCTACTTAAGAAATTACATTTTGAAGTAACAGAAATTTGACAAATACTGTACTGTGTCTATTAAGTTTACAGTCCATTTGATGATTTCCCTGTCCCACATGTCTGCCATTCTTACAGCTCTCATTTGGTTATCTTGTGGGGGGGTCCTGGCTTGTTTTTGTGTGTGTTGAGTCTTTATGGTCCAGTTGGCTCCTGTCAGTCACACAGGCGGTCTGTTGGCACTTCCTGTCCCCAGAACCTCCCCATCCTCTTTGGACCGGCCTCTAACGCAGCAGCAGCGGATCAACACGAGAGCCCAGTGCCAATGTGCAGCAACTGTTCCTCTGGTTTGAACGGTTTCCAGATGACAAAGTTACTTTCTGTGTTGTTCAGAAGGAAAGGCTGCTCAGTGATGTTCTGGTAAAGCAAACTTTTTGTGATGCTCATAATAAACTATAAAATACAAACATCATTATTTTACATTTTGTTCACTGAAAATGACAATATTGATCTAATAATAATAATAGAAAAATTAGAACATAATGGTAATATAATTTTTTTTTAACCCTGTGTGTATGAGTCTAAAGTATAAAGAGTATAGAGTAATAACATGCATAAAATATAAATACATAAATATATAAACAAATACATAAATAAATAACTGTTACTTTAAATTATTTTCACTTACTCACTTCGGTAACAATAAGAGCACATTTTTCAATTCCAGTCCACTGTAAAACAATCCTATATTTCATTATAACGTATCACTGAAACATAACCTAGCATAGCATTATTCCTATATATAGAGACAAACAGGAAGAAATTTAATATTTTCATCTTGGCTATAGTATATCTTTTTTTCCTAATCATCATTTAGGTAACACTAGAACATGGGCATTTCTTTTAAGGTGTTTCTGGCTCCTTCCCAGTAAAAGCATTGAGAGACATCAGGTCTGAGTTTATTTATACGACCCCACCACAAGGGTAGACCTCAGGCTGCCATAAGTACAGCTGAGCCCACCTGAGAGGGCCGGTCAGGGGCCACATGTCAGCCAGATGGATGGGCCGACACTAAAGAGCACTTATCCTGGTGCGTGTGTGTAGTCCCCGGTCCCGGCACGCACACGTATCCAGGCGATGGAAAATTACACATGACGGACGGCAGCTACATTTACCTGGCTTAGATTTCTGCTGCTGCTCATTTGAGACAACTGAGATGAATTATGTCATTGTTTTCTGGGTATTGTATTGTTGTATGGCATTATGGCACTGAAGCTGTGGTGCAAGTAACTGATACTGGAGTCCAATAACGAGCCTGGACAGTGATGCTAATATAGAGGACAACCATTCGCTCTCTCATTTATTCACTACGGAAACATTTGTCATTAATTTATGCATATTTACAGATGGTAATAGATGCACCGTAACACTGAAGCACTGTCAAAGTAAAAGTGGTAGTAGTCACAGTAATAGTAGTTGAAGTAGCAGAGATTGTAATACCAATAATCGAGAACGGGGTGCCAAACTCTAATTCACAGAAGGCCAAAATTAAAAATTGGGACTAAGTTGTGAGCAAAACTAAATAATTATTGAAAAATTTCAGCAACATCTGAAAAATTTCAACAACATCTGCATGTTTTCTGTAATGTTAAACCTTATTATCTTATTAAAATTAATGTTTGATAAGAGTTTTGTTTAAACACTGAATCCATAACAAGCAGAATATAAAATAAAACACAATTTTAAATAAATAATGTCTCTATAGCCTATGTGTAGCCAGCAGGCCAGTTCTAATACATATTTGATATGATCTCGTGGGCCAAATATAATTATATCGCGGGCCAAATTTGGCCCCCGTGTGTGTAATAATGTCATCAGTATACAATACATAAACATTATTTTCTATTTCACAGAATTCTCCAGTTATTCATATATTACATATAAATCTATGAACCTGCTAAACTGTCTTTCAAATAACACCTCTAAAGATTTATTTAAACATATTCTATAAAACAACAAATAAATAAAAATCTTGTTTTAATGATATAATAGTAGGAATAATATTGACATATAATATTGTATAAGATTGATATATGTCTTGGGATAAGCGATCCCATGCTTTAACACAAAGACAAGACAACACAGTGACATAAGCACCATACAAACACCCACCACAGAACATAAATAAATAAGAGAACAAGTGTGACTATGAGAGATATACCAACAAGACCTTGAAGTCACTCTATTCAGGCAAGTCATTCACAGTCTTATATTCTATTAATAATTGCACACTCCCTACTCCTTATATACAAACAGTGTGTTAAGCATTCAGTTCAAACATATTGTTTAGTGAAAGAAGCACAACGTAAGGGCAGATTTATGTAGATGTACCCATGCTTAGAGATGTACCGATGCTGCTTTTTCTGTTCCAATATTGGTACTTTGACTTTAAGTATCTGATGATATCCATTATTAACTGATACCAGTGTAGGGACAGACAATGGCAATTATTTTTTTTAAAACACACTTATCTTCTTACACAAGAGATTGAATTGTGCTATGCAACTCTTATTTATCCTCCAAATAACAGTTTTGTGTGAATAAAAGTGAAACATTATGAGACTTTATAGGCCTAAATCAGTCCCATTAAAGGTCCAATCACAATATCAACTTAACCGATATCATGAAAGTAGTATGCGCAAATATCAGCTTGATATATCAACAAACTAATATATTGGTCTATCTCTAATCGGCGCATACCTAAACATGCTCCCAGTAAGAATTTAGGTTTTTAAAGGTATTTCTGTGCAATAAAAAACTTGATTGGGCAAACAATAACATCCCCAAGGACATAAGTAGGCGGAAAATACTCCACCAGGAAAGTACCTTTAACTCGTATCTCATTACATCTCCACATTTAGGTTTCACGACCAAGCCAAACAGTGCAGTATATGCCCCACTATTATACAACCTGACATAAAGATCTTCCCCCGGCTGGAGAGGGCACCGCGCTGTCGCAGTAAGTCAAACTTTTTTAAACTTTACGGCCAAATTTGCAACTGCTTGGCCATCAAAAGTTATGGCAAGACCGCCTCAGACATCCACAGAACTTTATTCCCTGAGCAGGAGCAGCGGTAGCAGCAGCAGCATTGGTGACGAAGACCAAGGCAGGAGCTAAAATAGAGATTTAGTGCAGCCCATCTCTGCCTATATCCCACAATTCCCTCTTCCTCGATCCCACTAACCCCTGAGTCCACAGCTCCACTGAGAAAGCCAAACATCGATCTGAGTTACAGCAGTCCACGGAGAGACACGGCACACACACACCCACGGATACATACAGACGATAGAAGATGGTGAAACTTTACCAATACTTCTGCCTATATAGCTTTAGTTGCTGAACTTTTGACACTAAAACTATTTCCAATATGCAAGCTTCTGAGGGCATTATAAAGTTGACATATTGTGATTTTTGCTGTAAGGGAGGGTAAAAAATGATGCATCTACCAAGGTATCAAAAGATCTGATTTGACTTCTCCAGTGCTACATATTTGCCAAAACTCTTAATTATAAGTTACAAATATCTCAGCATAATCATCTGACTTGGGATTTTCAGAATAATTAATGTTTACAATGTTATGTCAATCATCAGAATTTTTACCCCATACTCATACAGACAAGAGACCAACTGCGATTGTTCATAAGCAGGGTGAGTGAGGTGTCATGCCTAGGGACACAACAACAGTATGCACAGAATATACGTACCCAGTTTGTGGTAGTAAAAGGGAAACTGCGAAGGGTCTGTAGAGTATTGGGGGAGTGCATAGAGACCTCCGGGCAATGAATTCCACAACAAATGATTTCTGGAGATATGGGAGTCCACACGGTCCTGAATGATCTGGAAGGAAAAATAAACATACATCAAAGTTAGTCACGGAAATTAATTAATTTCCGTTGTCTCTACTCAAGAAGTTTTAATCTGTTCTGACAAGCGAGTGGTTCCCTTGGGCTGTTTGACTGTGATACATGACTACATATAAACAATGATTAAACACCGTTCTCTGGAGCTCTCTTGTGAGCCTTAAGATTATAATGCTGTTACCTCCTCAAAAACATACCTGGAGTTGTGCTTTGTCTCATTCACGCATGTTTGAGTAATTCTGGTTTATTAGTATGTCCACATCTCCATTGCATCATTTCAAACTGCTCTGTTTCACCTTGTGATGTCATGAATCTGTAGTTTTCATGTTAACAGCTACTTTTTACCTGTAGTTAAGTAGAAATTGACAATTCCAGGGCTGAAATTATCCAAATTATTCTACTAAAGGAGTTTAAAAACACAGTGGAGCAAGGGCATAGGTTTGGTCACAGTTTTGGTGGAGACATTATCAGCTAGACCTTACCCTCAAATATTGTTTACTTTTCGTATGATGCACACTGCAAAAATCAAATAGCACATATAAGGAAGGGCTTAGTTTAGTTTATTTATTCAATGAGACAGGGACAGTGCAAAATATGCATTAACCTTAACAGGAGAGATGCATTGTACCAGGTTATAGAGCCAGTGCTAATTTCCACCTGTAGTCCCTGGGCAGGTTGATGTTATAGTTCATAAAACCATACATGCAAAGAGAATGTCTTTGTAATGTCCAGAGCATCATAACAATTCTGTATCATCATTTACTCATCATTTACTGTCCTATCAGCATCTTAAAAACATCATAAATGAAAAGGCTGAGTTTCCAAATGCTGTCCTGCATTTTGGGATCCTGCACTCACTGCGCACAGTGGATCGAGTGGTATGGGTAAAATGGGATAAGAAGTTGCGAATATGTTTTATGAATGAATCTGGGCAGGTCCAAAATAAGTGAGAGGTGGTTTTCAGTTCGTAAAATGTACAGTTTGTGTCCATTGCCCTTCTAAGATGATTCTTTATCAGATAACAGTGATGTAGAAGTTTATGACAGATTTCCCTTTGCTTGTTGGTGATGAGATATTTGTGAGGTAATGTCCAGACATTTTTTCATGGAATATTGTCAAAAGAGTCCAGCTGCTAACACCACACGAGTAGGGCTCTGTTTGGGAGGTGCACTTGTGGCAATAGTCGCTCTTTTTCCACGGAAACAAATTATAAGATAAGTTTAATTGAAGATGAAGTCAAGTAAGTTCCTTTTGAAATGTTTTTCAATGTTTTTCAAAGTCTTCACTCACGCCTGCTCAAGCCGCCATCTTCGGGTGCTGGTACTGTCCTGCCGCTTCCCCAGTTTAGGCTCCTGGCACCACTAATGGCATCACTTGAGTTTAGAAAAGTATTGGAATAAATGTATATTTTTGTTTATTACCAGCAGAGTTTTCTGTTTGAGAGAAAAACTCGACTAAATATGCAGGATTTGTGTTAAACATGTGAATAAAACAAAACACAACTCTGGGTATGTTTGTAATGAGGAAACAACAGAATAACATAGATCAGAAATCTAAATATATATGTAATAATAACAGTCGTGCAACAGTGAGAGTGAGTTTTATACTGGATGCCCTTCCAAATGAACTGGCACAAAGTTACCCTTGCCTGTACCCGCATGTGGCAAAATTAGGAATTGAATCATTAAACGCTGCTGGGAGGCTTTCATTTAGTTTACTAATTAGAGGAGACAGTGTTGTTAAAATGACTATATCCCTATTGAATAATTAACCTCATTACACATTTCCTCCACACTTTGAACAAGGGCCCGACTGGTTTGGCCCTCGAGTTGCCAGAGAGACGAGTGACACTGGCCCACCTGAGAGGACCAGAGCTGGGGCAAAAGCTGCTCCCAACACAAGGAGTCCATTAGTTATGAAGCTAATATTATCCGTATGGCCTTAGCAGAGGTGACAGGAGCTGGTCAGCTGTCTGCAGCCTGGTCCAGTCTGCAGGGATTTCATAGAGAGGGATGTGGTGGCTCAATTTGATTCTGAACTTCAAAGCACTCATAAGGCTAAAGGTCATTGGTAAATTTATATGAAAGGCCTACACAAGGATTTATCTGTAGAAAAGTTTGTCATTTAATTTAGTGGATGATGAGACAAAAATGGAATGAAACATGTAAGTACGTAGGTTTATTTTAATTTCCAGTCTTTAATTAAGTTTTTATTAAACAAAATGATACTAAGTGAAGAAATGTTTGAAGGAAAGAGAGAGTAAGAATCTTGATATTAGTTTTTCAAACCAATAACAGCATTTTACTGGTAGCGGTGCAATATTGCAATAGTGATTTTTCTATGCTGTTTTGATAAAGATATTCAAATGATATTTCAACAATCATGTATGTGCTAAAATGTGCCTGTAAATATCTTGGTTGAGGTTAAGTATTGCATAAAATTTGAATGGACCATTAAATTACTTAAAGATCACTTTATATCCTTGTTTGGGAAATTACACTAGGCATGTCTTTCTGGTTTTTAAATGTAATTTTAAGCACTTTTTGTTACAGATGATAAACTCGATATTCTAATTTTGCATATCTCCAAAACAACAGTTGTAATAATATAAATTTTCCGATAAATTGTCCACCCCTAATTGCCGCCATATTGTCTTTTATTCAGGAGCTGTCAGCTGCAGTGAGGAGAATTGGCTTGGCACTTGTGGATATCCATATCTCTCTCCCCTTCTCCCTTTCTCTTTGTCTCTCTTTTTCATACTGTATTTCCCCTTCTCCCTTTGTCTTTCTTTCTGCCTCTCTTTCTCATACTCTCTCCCTTTCTCTCTCTCTCTCCCCTTCTCCATTTCTCTTTGTCACTCTCTCTCTCACACACACTGTTTCTCCCTTTCTCTCTCCCCCCCTTTTCCGTTCTCTTTGTCTCTCCCTCTCTTTCTCATTTCTGACCATTTCTCTCTCTCCCCCTTCTCTTTCTCTCCCTCTCTTTCTCATACTCTCTCTCACCCTTTCTCTCTCTCTCCCCTTCTCCTTTTCTCTTTGTCTTTCCCTCTCTCACACACTCTCTCTCCCTCTCTCTCCCTTCTCTTTGTCACTCTCTCTCACACACTCTATTTCTCCCTTTCTCTCTCTTCCCCTTCTCCATTTCTCTGTCACTCTCCCTCTCCTTTTTTCTCTCCCCTTCTCCCTTTCTCTTTGTCTTCCTCTTTCCCCTTCTCCCTTTCTCTTTGTCACTCTCTCTCACACACTTTATTCCCCCCTTTCTCTCTTTCTCCTCTTCTCTTTGTCTCTCCCTGTCTTTTCCATACTCTCTCTCCCCCTCTCTTTGTCTCTCGCTCTCTTTTTCACACACTCTCTCCCTTTCTCTCTCCCCTTCTCCCTTTCTTTGTCTCTCTCTCTCTTTCTCACACTCTATATCTCCTCTCTCTCAGCTTCTCCCCTTCTGTTTGTCACTCTCTCTCTCATACACTCTTTCTCTCTCTCTCCCCCCTTTTCCATTCTCTTTGTCTCTCCCTCTCTCTCATTTTTGTCCCTTTCTCTCTCCCCTTCTCCCTTTCTCTTTGTCTCTCTCTCTCTGTCTCACACTCTGTCTCTCTTCTCTCTCTCCCCTTCTCTTTGTCACTCTCTCTCACACACTCTATTTCTCCCTTTCTCTCTCTCCCCCTTCACCCTTTCTCTTTGTTACTCTCCCTTTTTCTCTCACCTTCTCCTTTTCTCTCGCTCTCTCTCACATGCTCTATATCTCCCTTTCTCCCATTCTCCCTTTTTTCTCTTGCGCTCTCTCTCTCTCACACTCTGCTTCTCTCTTTCTTTCTCTCCCCCTTCTCCCTTTCTCTCTCTTCCTCTTCCTCTCTCTATCTCTCTCTCTCACGCACACGCACACACTAGTGAGGCTCTCAGTATGGGGTTTACTGCTTTTATCAAGCACGGCTCATTTCACCCATTTAGCCTGGTGCTGGTGGTGACGCGGGTGCTCTGGGTGAACGCCAGACCTCCGCACATCTGGACTATACCTCACACAGCTGTCAATATGCTGTGTCTAATTTCAAACACAGTGGGGAAATCCAAGGTCTTCATTATGTCCTGGTTGGAAAATGGTGTCAAACTTAATTTAGAAAAGAGTTTAACGTGAAATATTATCATCACGACAAACACAGTAGAACGAGTTATAAGATACATACAAGGGTTTATTTCGCTTAAAGCTTGTGTCCATGGAGATGTTATTGCTTTGTCTTTGTACGACATCAAACTCCCCAGAGACAAGCAGGCGATGTCATCAGCTGAAGTTACAGGACAGATCTGTGGAGAGCTGACCCTGATTTTAAAGGTATTTTGAGCCCATAAAACACAACATCGGAAATTTTATCATAGTACAGAAGTTATTGCAGCATTATTAACTTTGTATAACTCTATAATTGCACCATATCTGATGTACTGTGTAGAAATTTGGGGGTCAATATGTAAAACTTACCTACAGCCATTATTTATTTTACAAAAAAGGGCCTTGAGAATTATCACCAAGTCACTGTAGAGAGCCATCCAACCCATTATTTGTTAAATTTAATGTGTTGAAAATGCATGATATTCTTGATTTAAGTATCCTCAAAGTCATGTGTAAAGTAAAGTGCAATGTGTTACCTGTAAATATTCAAACTTTGAAATGAGAACAAGCCACTACAATTTAAAAGGAACCTAAATGTTAAAAAAAAAACTCATTCAGAACCAGGATTATGGAGCGGAAGCATCACTGTGAAAGGAGTTAACTTATGGAATAGTCTTGACAAAGATATAAAAGAATAAAGTACAATAATGACATTTAAAAAACACATAAAATCGAGTGCAATGTGTATGTATGAAAAAAGAAAACTAAGTTGTTGTGCATAATAGTGAAGATTTCTGTTTGCAGTTGGTTAATGATTGTGTCTGAAATGTTTTGAAATGTTTTAAAGTAACTATCGGTGTTGATGTATTGTCTGGAAAAGGGGACAGATAACATAAGATGACTCTTCTTCTGCTCCTTTTCATTCATTTCATCGTATGTTTGATGTTGTGACAATGTTGTTGTCTTTTTATTCTTTATGAAAAACAAACAAAAAAACAAAAAAAAAAAAAACATCATACTTTGAAACAGTCCAGGCAAAGTAATAACATCTCCATGAAAACAACCAGAAAAGTGACACAGTGCACCTTTAATCTGGTTCAAGTAAGCAAATAAATATTGCATAAAACAAAGAAATAACTGCGTATGAAGAAAGAACCTAGAATACATTGTGTTGTGGTGTTACAAATAACCTTATAAAGTTAGTTATAAAGCTATTAAAATGCCTCAACAATGACTCATTTAGTAAATAAATGACTATACTCAATCATTTAGAGCATTAAAAACATACAAAAAGCATCCTGTCCTTGGATCAGTGCTTCCTCTGGCGTCCAACTGGATCAGATCCAAGTAGCCTTTTCTGAAATGCCCACCGTGATGTTCCAGTGCGTTTATAGCTGTAATAATATTGATAGTGATGAAGATTGAACTGTTGAAGATGATCAATTGCGAGCTGTAATTCGCCCTGAACTTCTGTATTAAAATATGGACATTACAGAGCTGTTTATGTGGCTGTATGGTAATGAGATGGCAGTAACCAGAACATTATTGGAGTGAGCGTGAGTGTATCCATGGCCAGGACGTCCCAGAGGAGAGAATCAAGGCCCTCACACGCCTTCAAGTGCACCAGCAGAGGTCAGTGCGGAGCCTCCAGCCTGCTGTAGTCTCCACGGTAACACCCACGTGCACAACAAACCAAGGCCTACCACACTGTACCCACTTACTACACAATACTACAAGAGAATGAGTTTCAGAGGTTTTTTAAAGCTGCGCTGAGTAACGTTGCCTGGAGGGGGTAGCACCACCTGTTTGTCTCCATAGAAAGTTGTTGCTTTACCTGGAATATCCCACAGTCTAACGATCAATGCAATGACATCTCCAGTGCATACAAGCAGATGGTGGACACGGCAGTTGAAAAGTTACCTAGTGCACATTTAAAGGAGCATTGTGTAACTTTTCTGGTGCTTTTTTCCATGGAGATGTCAGTGCTCTGCCTGAAATGACATTCTGATTGTGAGCAGGGTTGCCTCTCCACAGATCTGACCTGTAACTTGGCCTGGTTTGGTCTCCATGAAGATAGAAAGGCTGATAAGCATATTGTGAAACATTCCAGGAAAAACAGTAACATCTCCATGGAGGAAAGCATCTGAAGGACCCTCCTCCAGAAAAGTTACACAATTCACATTTAACACACACAATAAGACAAAGCTAAAAGGGGAGATTCAATTTGTCAACTGGACAAAAGTTTTGGTCGAATACGTTTCGCAGCAGCATCCAAGTCAAGTTTTTGAACAGAAATGGGAGACTCAGACACCATCTATTTCTTATTTACAACTCCATCCTCAAACCTAAATCAAAAGAAACTAAGAAAACAATAGGGACAACCAGGTCAGGCCCAGAGGTGTGAAAGCACCCATTATGGCCCTGAATGATTGTGCTAATATGACCCCACACTCAGTGCAAGTTCAATAGGCCTAGCTAACAAACAGAAACTGTAAACAAGTAGATGTGTTAGTTTCAGAATAGTGTCATTGTAGTTAGCTCCTCTTTCCAGACAGAGAACACACACGACCAGAACTGAAGAAGCAACTTGGATGAACGGCAAAATGTATTTGACCAAATAAAATTTTGTACAGTTGACAAATTGAATTTATCCTTTTGCTATGGGAGGGATTTTACAAACAAGATAAAATCATTACAGTAATTTGCAAGAGGACTCCATAACACTTATAAGCAGACTCTCTTCACATATTGTGGATGGAAAACTAGTATGAGCTTGAGTCCTTATTATGTCTAAAAAAGTGGTCAGTCAGATCTGTATTTGTGAAAAGTAAACTAAATACTACTACTTTACTATAGTTGACTTTGCTTTGGGAATTGGTAACTGTAGCAAACATTACTTTCCCAGGAAACAAACAGGGAGGAATCCATTGGTTATGTATTGATAGCTGTCATGCGCTAAAGACCCAATGTGCTCTCAGCCTATTCAGGGATGCATGGTCAATAAACAGCCCAGAGTGTGTTTCGCCCATGGACACAAAACTATCAATATGTAGTCAAACTAAATGTGGGGGCAGACTGAGCTCATAGTGCAGAACACTGAGGTCAAAAATACCACCAAGAATTAGAGATTTCCTCCAAAAGTTTTACTCAGGGAGAGAAAGAGCCCATGGCAGCTAAGAAGAGCACAGAGAGGTTGGCTGATTATGACAGAGGCATACCAATATATTTTAAACCTTACTTCCAGCACTGATAATCGCTCTATTATTTAAAAAAAAAAAACATAATACCTTCTTCCCATAGTTTCTTAGTACTTTTACATGGTTTTTAATTTACCCAGAATTTATAACTTTGTAGTTTCCTTGTATTTGACAGTTTTCAATGTTGAGAGTACACTTTCAGATTTTGCACTTGTTTACCAGGGATGGGCTAGTATTGCTAACATTGATATTGAGGGATAAAGTACATAGGCTATTAGCAAAATATCCCAATATATCAGACCATTATTTTTTCTACAGATTTTTTCTTCAACTTCACTTCAATTTGGGAGCTTCATCATTTCAAAACACTGATACTGAGAAATATGAAATAATACAAATATCACATACAGACAAATTTACTCAACTCACATACTGAATAGTGAATACTGTCTTTCTGAATCCTACCTCCAGGGTGGTTAGGACGATCTTGGCCACAGAGGAGAAGTAGGCGTCCCAAAGGAACTGGGTCTGTTGGCGCAGAGCCAGGATCCTGTCACGGACCACGGACCGGGTGATGGAGGGCACCTGCACATACAAACACACACAAACAAACACACACACACACAAACAAACACACACACACACACAACAGGTGACAGTCAGACATGTTCATGGATGGTTTAGCCTCTGAATGTGAGGGAACAGAGCTGTATTTAAACACACTGTGGGAAGGCATAAGGCATTTCACCATAAAAAAAAATACAAAAACGATGCAAGCTAAGTTATCTTCTTTCCCTAAAGTTTAAAGAACCTGTACATCTGTTCATTCCAAGTATGGTATAGTCAGTTAGCCTGATTCATCAGCCAGTTTCACTTCGTGCAAACTGTCTGACCTCGCAGCATTAGGATTCGTTCGCTCGATGATAGGCGGGTACTTTTTTATTTAACCAATCGCTGCTATTTGGTAATGCCTGTAATGTGCCGCTAACAGGGTTAACTGGTATATTAAGCTTTTCCCAAATCCTGTAGGATGAAGGGCAAAAACATCTTTCCCCTTGATAAAATTCACCAAACATTCTCTTTGTTCCAGCTTTAAATCCTCGATCTCGGGAATCGTTGCCAACACAGAATATATGGCTTCGTCTACATCCATTTCGACCGCTTTGTTTACTGTTGTGCTGCACCACAAAAAGAGACTCAATCATGGCTTCACAGCTCTTCGCTGATTGACTGGTCTACAACTTACAGGATTCTTCCAAACCGTGTATTTCGATTCCTGACCTAATTGCTGAAGAGAAATGAAATTGAGAGGAGTCACTAGGTGGCAACAGCCCGGCTAATAGTCAGGTACTTTGCCATCCAAAAAATACTAATGCTAATTAAGGGGTACATACAGATTAGTTACATTTATTTACCAGAAAAGTCTAGCAAAATATAAACAGAATGTTATAAATATGCACTGTTAACTAAGGGTAAATCAAAAATTAAGAAGGCTACAATTATCAGAAATACTGTCAGACAATGTACCGAGTTAAATACATTTAAAACTATTCTAAGGAGATTTGAAGATAAGATAATTTTAAGTTAAGTATTGTAGGTGCTGTTTAAACCACCTTCAGCTGCTGTGCACTTGTAGAAACATTTCACTGAAGAGAAAGGTGCTTGTATTTATTTCCAGTCACGTTTGAGCCCAAATCGTGATGGATACCGGCCATAAACCCCACCTTAAGTTTTCAGACCGAGCTGGTTTACCACTGAAACACATTACATCCTATTTCTCCTTGCCTCAGGGGAGAGTAGATGTCCCAGTTGCATTGCCATAGACAGTGTGTGATTTGGGGCTTGTCTTGTGCCCACTGACGCCTGGGGGAGAGGAAGCGGCGATAGGCCAAATCAGAGCAGACAACCACACGGACCCCCAGGCAGTCCAGGCATCCCACACAAGCAAGAACCCCAACAAAGTGCTTCTTTGATGGGATGCAGCTTCTGAGGTCTCCCTGGCTGAACAATCCAGCTGGAGGTGTGTACGGCCAAATCTCCCGGAGAGTTTGTTCTCATTATCTAACAAATGTGGTGAAGCAATGATCTGTTTAGTCAGTATGAGAGTTATCACACAAGGCTTAACAAATTGATAAACTACTGGATTTTTTTTTCTTCAGATGCCCTTACAGATGTATTTTTTGGGTCCAGCAAAAAACTACATTGGGGTTTGATTACTTGGCTGGATTAAATTTAGGCTAGCAAAGAAATTAAAATTATTTGGATTACATTAAATAAAAGCAGTATCAGAAAAATGAAACAAAATCAGTACGTTTAAAGATACATTGCGTATGTCTTCTGGTAGAGGCCACGCCACCTGAATTTATCTAATTCCACAGAGACAGACAGGCACGATCAAGCAAGTTACAGGTTGGATCTGTGGAGACGTAGGCTCGCTCATAACACATTTTTCAAGGTATTTATTTTTTTTAAATAATAACTCTTACTATTTAATAAATGCTGGATAGATGTTTAATTCCATAATGAGGTACATCCAAGGTACAACAATCATTTCTATGAAGACAAGCAGGTGGCGGACTGTGACGGATGCTGTCCTAGTTTAGTTTGGCCTTTCTTCCACCCACCTCAGATCCACTCACTTCAGATCCACCCACCTTGGATGCACCCCTCTGATCAGCCTCACCTGGCCGGCTTGATCAGCGGGGGTATAAAGGCCCGGAGCTGCCACAAGAAGAGTGACCAGTGGGTCCACTGCTGCAGCTACTTTGGTTGTTCGTTTTTGTGTTATCCTTATCTGATTCTTTGTACACCTTTTTTAGCACTTTTTTGTAATATCCTTCCTTTTTTCACCTCGCCACACTTACAGTTTTTGTTCCACTCCTGGTTTATTTAACATCTTTTTTCAGTTACCGTGCCACCCCCTAGACTCCCATGGCATGTAACACGGACCCTACATCAGAAAAGTTACACAGTGCACCTTTAATCACTGAATTTTTCCATAGTATATTTTAATGTTAAAAAGCAAGGGTTGTGTTGGCTGATACTCTCTTTCTTTTAACTGTGCAATGAAAATTTGTAAAATATTATTACTGGTGAACAATATTGGTGAAACCTCAAATCCAATGGCTACAGTTTCATGTTTTTCTCCCAAAAGCATGTCATTTCATATTAGCTGATTCTGGTTTATTTCAGGTTAGTCCAAACATACAAATTTTAGGAAACCATTTTAATGTAATGGGAAATATCAGCTTGACTAAAATGATTGGCAAGGCTTTGATGATGAAGCTGATTTTAGAAATTTCAGATCATAACATTCAGACATAACATTTTGAACAGTCTTTAATATCAGTATTTTTAGAGCTACACATTAATCTAATGTGGAAGGTTACTAATTAGTTACTTTTAGCTACTTTTAGCATTGTAACAGTTGTGTCCTTGAGCAAAACATTTCACCACCTGTATAAATGTGTAACTGGTTATGACTGAACTAAAGCCTTTGCACTCGAATTCTTAAATGTAACTTCTCCATTGGTACAACTTAATTATGACTACACTTTAATTACCCTTAAAGGTAGATCTGCCAAGAATGTTCCACAGTAGGACCATAAACTTATGAATCTCCATGGAGACTTGCAAGACAAACAAGCACAATCAGAGATAGCAACCTGGTCCCCCATGACCCATCGCATGTGTGATGATAGGGTGAATATTTTAGCCCGCAGATGGTTAAGAAATTGTTGAAATTGCCTATCCTTTATACCTGCCTACCTTTCCAAACCTCAAATGACCTTGGATTGTCACCAAACTTTTTTGCGGCATCGGGCACGGGGGCTTGACCCACATACCAAATTTGGTGATAATCAGTCCATAAATGGCGGAATTATCACGGGTGGACAGACACACAGACACACACACACAGACAAGGCAAGACAGATTGGTTTAAAGTCACACTGTGGACAATTTAAACCAAAGAATTAACATCTCCATGGAGCTAAAAAGGTTGTGAACCCACTCCAGAAAAGTTACACAGTGTAACTTTAACTAAGACTTAATTCATAATGAACAAATAGTTTATTACAAATGATTCAGGCTTAGCAAAAACTTAATTAAGAGCTGAAAGTGTAGTAATTATAAACTGCACCCCATTCAAACGCATAATATAAGAGCCTACATTAATCACCACATATATATAATGCAAAGGGCTGTCCACAGTGCAGGTATGTGTGTGTGCGTGTGTGTGTAGATGTCACTCTCCTGCCGACAGCTGAGTGTGTGTGTAATTGCTCCAGTCTCAGAGGCGACATATAAACACCAATCAAATCATCTCACTTCTCTTCCCTCTAATTGCCTCTAATAGTGTTTGTGTATCTCCGCGGGGGCCCTCTTGTGTGGTTGTGTGTGCGATTGTGTGTGCGTGTGTGTCTGTGTGTGTTTTGAGGTGCGCAGGCAGACTAAACGCGGTACATATTAAACAGCGCTCCATTGTGCCACTCTCTGATGTAATTGAAAGCAATGAGATTCCAGTGTCTCAGCGGGGGCCAGCGATCTGAGTTCGAGACAGAGATGTTCACAATCTGTTTACCAGAGACAGATAAAACGTCAGCACTCAGCGTCCACACAGATCCAGGGCAGTAAGGCAGGATTTAAAAGTATTAGGAAGAGAAGGAATGTACTTTTAAGGCAATGTGGATCCTGGACAAGAGCTGATGCTGTTGGAGATTGAAGCATAAAGACTGAAGGGTTGTATAGAAAAAAATTACATTTTGTACAGCATGAATAGAGTTCAAATTAAAATAATATCAATAATATTAAAGATGTATTGTGTAACTCTTCTTGTCTTGAAATGTTATTGCTTTTCCTGGATTTAGTAATGTCACACTAAATTTATCTATATTCATTGCTTATAGTAATGGAGAGATGATTGTAGATTTGTAAAGAAGTTGCCCTGCTCTTTCATTTTACAGTAAAATCACCTGTAACTGCACAAATTTAATGCTATACTACAGAATATCCCAGGCAAATCAATGGCATATCCAGACCCCAAGATGACCCCAACATTTAAAGTGTTTGTATTGAACAAAATGAACAGTACTGATAAAACACTGAGGCACTGCTGAGATCATAATTACTGTACATTTCAACTCAAATTAGGAATTTTAATAGCGGCAAAAAGCATGCACAGTTAAAATGGTGACCACATCAGATCAATAGTTGCTGCCCTCTTAACGTTTTAAATGATTGTGAATATGTTTGTAAATCCAAAGTCCAAAAAGACATTAAAAAATTGCAGCTAGTTTTGTAGAATCTACCACAAGTCCACCAGCTGCCACGGCTCGTAATGAAGCAATTTAAACTCTAATAATCCTGCCTATAAAATCCATTAGAACAAAGCAGGCTACTTCTCTGAAGAATACAAGGAGGCTGTCCAGTGCTGCCATGGATTCTCAGGCTGTGTGCTGTTTTAGACAATGTGTTTAAATAAAGTTGCTTGCTACATGGCTTTTTTCATCACACGGGTAGACATTGCATTAAAATTAATTTAACTGTGTTGCGTCCAGTCTGTGTATTCATTTCACATGATCCAATTTAGAATCGCACAAACGCACTGCTATATCTGCCACAGTCTAATCCCTGTAAAGATCAGGAGTGTGCGTACACAGTGGACACACACAGACACATGATGAGACACAAAGCCTGACCAGGAGGTGCAGGTCAGGCAGATGGCACACGCTCATATAGAGTCATTACAAAGGTAAATATCACACCTCAGTCTGCAGCACTAATTAAACACAGCGGACGAGGATTCAGAGCACTAATCCAAATCACATTCAGATAAAAATAGCAAAGATTCAAGTGGGATCACTCAGCAGTTGTAAGTGAAAAAAATAATATTAACAAATTACTTTTTAAAATCTTGCACAGAAAGTCTTCACCACACAATGGGGCTTGGTTTTAAACAGTGTTCTCTTTTCCAATGTGAAATCATTTGCACAGAAACTTATCAGGGTTTACAATCAACTGTTCTATCTCATACTGACACTTTAAATTTACTTGGTTATAGGTAATTATTAAATTAGATGGTGTACATTTGGTGAGCTTTGTTGGCATATTGGATTTTGAAAGGGCTTTACAAAACGTACATTTGCTTTTATAGTAGGTCAAAAGAAATGTGGAAGAATTTCTTTTACATAAACGCACCATACACTTTACCAAATACACTATTAGTCAAAAATGTGTACACACACATCTCTTTCAGTGTTTATTTTTACCGTATATGTTTACTATTTTCAAAATTTCATATGCATACAAGTAAGATATATGGAACTATGTAGCAAAGAAAGCCAGCCATTGCTTTGTTAAAAAATATTTAGGGGAGTTATTAAACTTTTTCTTTCTTTGCTACATAATTCCACACATCTTGCATCATATAGTTAATGTCTTCTGTATGTAGAGCAAATGAATGAGAGTGTGTCCAAACTTTTGACTGGTAGGTTATGTATTCAAAAACACCATTTGCTTTCAGACATTTTTGGACAACTATCATGTCCATCTTCCCTTAAGCTTGTGAAATCTGGTCATTTCCCCGAAACGCTGTTTCCTGTGGTTACATTTAAAAGTGTTGCACCTGTAGCAGCAGCCTCTCGTCTCCGATGACCGCCGCCTTCCTCCAGTCGATGACCTCAGAGAAGGGCAGCTCCCAGCCGTTACTCAGGATCACAGGGATACACGCAGCCTATGGGAGACAAATATAAGGACAGGTATTATACAGACTGTTCTAATATACAATACAGTACAATAATAATTAAGTTAACTCTTTTGGTGCGTTTTCATTCACCAGTCAATTTATGTTCTGTGCCTATGATCCACCAAGCAACCAAAATAACACAGGGAAGGTTTGTGAAATATCTTGCCAAAAGACACAAAAGCAGTATGGAAAGTTTGCTCCAATAATTTACTTAACTACACTGCAAAAAAACAATATCTAGGCAAAATTACTTAAATTAAGAACATTTATCTTCATCTGAGTAGATTTAACTTCATGGAATAAGTGTGTTTTTCTTAATTCAAGCAACATTAGATTTTGTTTCTTATTTTACGTGCAAAAGCAGTTGTTTTTCTTAACTTAAATATAGCAAAATGTATTTTCACATTTTAAATATAGAAAGTCTTGTTCCATTGGTAGATAATTTTATTAGTAAACTGAAATTTACTCAAATCATGATAAAACTTTTTTCATTCAAGTATCCTTATCTTGGCTAGATTTTAGATTTTGCAGTGTAAAACCAAATTTTACTCACTGCAACTACAATATTGCATCCATGTTTTTACTTACAAAGATATATTATGTAATTATACAGTGAAGAGAATTACAAAAAGGCCACAAGATGAGCTAAAACTCTTAGATAAGTTTGGTATTTTCATTAAAAGTTTAAGTGGGGCTTGACTGTGGATGAGGTGAGAGGGAGATTAAAGAGGATTGAGAAAATGCCGAGTGCATGATGACCTGTCCCGGCTCTGATTAGTCCAACCTCTCCTCCTCTGTCTGATCTGTCTCACTCATATGTGTGATGAGCTATGTCTGCAAGTTCTACATTAAACAAATAGCCAAAATATCTGATACCATTATGCATGCCAAGCTAGCCTGGCCAGAGAAGACAATACAAAGACATGTAGTCTGTGTAGAGACCCGTTTTTATCTGCCCTAACTGCGATAGGCAAGACTGACAGGTGGATTAGCCAATAAAAGAAATGATTGTTTTTAAGGCTAAGGTATACTTTATTGCAGTTAAAATTCATTCTCTGTATTTGACCCATCATTCAATGCCCATCTCCATGATCCTGAGGTAGTCTTGGTCAGGACCACATTAGCTGAACGTTTTTCCCTGTTGTGCATGTTTTGGGTTGATGACCACATTTGCCACATTAAGTGGCCCTAAACAATATTATAATATTTTTTGTCAGAAAGTCAAGCGTAACAGTTTTTTTACTTAACTTAAAGGTGCACTGTGTAACTTTTCTGCTGGAGGGCCAGTCAAATGCTTTTCTCTATGGAGATGTTATTTCTTTCTCTGAAATGTTTCACAGTATGGCATTAAACTTTTCTGTCTTCGTGGTAATCTAACCAGACCCTGTTACAGGCCAGATCTGTGGAAGCCCTGTTTACAAGGACATGGGTATTTTTTTAAATGGAGACATTCCCTTTGTTTCTACCTTTTACACACAAACGGCGAATTCACCTCTGAAAAGAAACCTTTCTAAAAACTCCAGCTAGAGTGGAGATTCTGGAAAACTCTGGTTTCAAGCTTGTGTATAAAGTGAGATAAACTGAGTTTTAGGAGCTGACACACCAAAAGTGCATCCAATGTTTATCTTTTGCTATGATGATGATCATGGAGCATTCAGAGCAGTCACATTTCTTCTGGTGCAAACACTTTTCACGTGTTTGCATTTGCACAAAGCAGATGTATCCTATCAATTTTACCACTTCTTTAACAGATCTGTGTAGAGGCGAGCACGCTCAGCAATGCACGTTTTTCAAGGTATTTTTGAGTAATACTTACAATCTGTAATATGTAAAATGAAATAAATGCTACAGGTTTGAATATAATCCAGGTGCCACCCAGAGGGTTGCCGTAGTTATGACGGCGCTCGATGGTGTATTTATGTAGGTTGATGTAAACGAAAACTTTTTTTTAAAACGATGCTATGTGCACAATGTTATTTTTGGAAAACAGAGGAGGGAAATATGTGTTTCTCAACATACCCGGCTATATGTAAATGTAGCCAGAGAGTCAACCCCGCTCACAGTCAGAATGCCTGTTTTTCTAGGTATTATTGAGCTATAAAACCACCGGTAATTGAGTAATTAAGTGCAATTAAGTGTAAGGTGGAGTCGATTAATATCATACTGTGTATACTCCAGGCAGAGCAATGACATATCCATAGGAAGAAGCAGGTGACGGACCCCTAACCAAAAAGTTACACAGCACACCTTTAAAGTAGCTGATAAAACTTGACTTTACTTTAGATAGGGTGAGTCATACATTGAACCACATGAGATGATCTGCCTGCTTCTCACCCCACATGGTCTGACACATTCTCAGTGTACTCCAAAGGCTCTCGTAAAACAACCGTCTATTGAGAAAAACCCTGATTCAGCAACTTGCATCTGCTTCCATTAACAATGCATTTAATCAGAGCTAATCGTGTTAAACCGTGATGAAGACTCCAGGCCCACGCAGCTCGGGCACAGCAGACAGAGAGACAACCCCAGTGTCAAAACACGAGCATGACGGCTACAGCGGAGGTGCTAATGAAAGCTAACACATGTGTGGTTAGCGGTGCTGTATCAGTACGAGCAGGCCCTCCTCTGGCACACCAAGATGACACGTTGTCAATAGTAATCAGATCAGAGCTGTGAGGAGAGTGACAGGACACTATCTGAGCACGTGGAACTCGGGGTCTAAGATGGTGAAGTTGAGGTACAAATAACAGGGAAGATATGACATTGAAGTACTTTTTTTCCTAAACTAACATACAGTTTTTCTTTCAAGAAGTAATAGTACATATTGGTGAGGGTTATGTATCTTTCCACTCTTCTGAGCATAGATACCACAGAGAATCCTTAGGAAAATTTTGACTTCTTTTGGGTAATTCTGGCTTTTCTACTATGTTTAATCTTGTGTGTTTTTTGAAAGTGCAATGTCCTCTATCAAATACTCTAATCTAATTTGCAGAGGATGACCAAAGTGCAAAACACAGACTCTTCTCCAGATGGCTGTCAGTAACACACAGCATATTTTAAAATACACTCACAAATGCACAAAATTTGGTGTAGATTGGGAGATAGATAAAAACCTACAAGCTATTTATTGGAAAAACTATGCATGAGTTTCGTAATTATCAAAAATGAGGTCCATTACCAGAGCAATTAATAATTTAAACCAAAATATTATGGCTTTTGAATGAGAGAAAATAGAATGAAACAGGAAACTGAAAGCCAAGAATAGAGTTCCCAGAAGAACCTCATTCATTAACGGAAATAACATGCAAACTCCACAGTAAGGATCTACACAATCTCGGGTTTGAACTCAGTGCCCTGTTTCACGAAGAGAAGTTCAAACCAAACCATTATTCCACCTTTACATCCAACAACTCAACAGTATAAAATAGTTGAAGTACAGGAGCCAAAACATGATTAGCTGATGATGGTTATTACCTGCAGAGCCTCCAGAAAGCGAAAGGATCCCAGACGCCGGCCACGAGGGACAAGGCAGAAACTGGAGTTCCGGAGCAGCTCTTGATAGTCAAACCTGCAAACAGAAAATACAAATATCTAGCTTAATAACTAAATCTAAATTAATATTGTATTGATTCCAGAAACATTTTCAGATTGGTTGAATAAACTGCCAAATATTAGTCACTTAATAGTAATAATTCCTTTTTATTAATCTATGCTGACAGATAAAGCAGCAGCACACAAAGATCAGAACTCTTACTCTCATAATCTCTTATTATAGCACCAAATTTAAGTGCCTATGTCAAGTTGAACTATTCATTTTACTAAAACACAGTTAGGATCATTATATTTAAGATTTTACAAAACAGTTTCTTTTTTCTTCCTCGGTGGGCCATTTTTTAGGTTTCAAATTATACTCCTAACTCCTAAACCCTTATAATATACACATTAATTATAATTTGTTAAATAAAAATATAAGAAAACAGCTTTATTTTGTTGAAATGTATCAGAAAAATGGCTTTCTTGCATTTAAATTGCAATGAACTTTTAGATAGAAGGGGTAGCTAGTGTGATCTCATAAATATAGAAAATAGAACTGTCTACTTCCAACATATTTTTCAACTTTTCTTCCCAATTTGGTTCTTGATCAGTGCAAAGCTACAATTTATATTTACAACCGGTATTATCCCACGAAATTAAGTCAAAATGATAGAAAGTCATACACACTTTATCACTGACCAAACAAATACATTTCTCAAGTACCCACCCTGGACCTTTTCTAACAGTCCAAATGATATAAAACTTACAATATATAAAATACTCTAGCCCCTTGGTTTTTGATCATCTTTAAGACTCTGAAAGGTGAAGGCATTTTGAGGACATTTTTCTGGGGAAAGTAGAGAGCACAAAGGGCATTGTGAAGAATTGTACAAACTTAAATCTATGTCTGAACTGCTTTTTCTCCCAATCCTCAAATCAGCAGCAGACACACAGACTCAAGCCGCTTACTACTAAAGTCTGACACACAATCTCTCCTATCAAATGTGTCCAAAACTCCAGCATTTCAAAAGATTTTTTTTTTTTTAAATAATAAAAGGTCCGTTTGATCAGGACATGAGAGAGGAGACGCTATCTTTACTTATGGTGAGTATTGATCTCAAATCGCACTGGATCTCGTCTGTTAAAAGGGTGAGGTTTGAAGGGTACGGCTTAATAAGTTTGTCGTCACCCCAGGGCAGGGCAGGGGAAGGTCTACAGCAGAGACAAGTGTGCAGGTGGAGATCGGCAGCCACTTTTCCCTTGCTGTGCCCCAGGGCTGCTTTGGCAAGATGAAAAGTTACTGTAGTATCATAGTTTTTGTATTCTATGTCATGTTTTGAATGTTTCAGGTGTGTTTGTTTTTTTACATTGACATTAATAATGCACTCACATACCCATATACCTAAACAAAATTACTTAATTGAATGTTAAAGTAATAAAAAATGTATTTAAAAAATGTACAAACTAAACAAAATGCAAAGCCAAATGTTTTAATGAGGAAACAGTCTAATCTAGCTAACGCCAGATTGATATCTAGCATTGAATTGAGTTTTATACTAGAGATGTAACGATATCCAAATCTCTCGGACCGATATCATCACAATATGCATCTCACGGTACGATATTTATTGTGATATTTTGGAGAGGCGAATATAAAAGTAGATATCACACTTTTTGGCTTTTAAAATACCTTGACAAGATTTTGGTGTGAATTATTTCTGTCCTAATCCCAAGAATTCAAGTACAAAACATATTTCTTCATGTTTGCTGCACTGAAATGAATCATGGGATATGTAGTTCTCTATGTTAATAAGCTGTTGTTACTATAAAACCATGCATTTAAGCAAAGGAACTTGTGATTTGATATATTGTGACAGCCCATGATATGATTGTGAGACTTTTGATGATACAATATCACGATATTTTAGTTATTGTTACATCCCTATTTTATACACACATATATGACAAATGCTTCAAGCTGACTGGTGCCCTGGAACTGGTCTAGCACTGGCTAACCAAGCAATCGCCACAAAGAGTCGTGCCAAACCGATCCTCAGATGGAGTTTGTCAAACCAAAAATATCGCAAGAATGGCCGGATTAGAAACATTCCAACATAGTTAAAAAGTAAAAGTTTTGCATCCTATAGGCCCTATAGTATAGGGCCTTTAAATGTCCATTGAACAGTGCATATATTTTTCCAAACTTCTGACTTTACGAAAGCAAAGGAAAAGGGTGAGTGTGTGTGTGTACGGGGGATAGCCATGTTCTTGGGGCTGCCCTGAGGAGATTTTAGATTGAAGCCTAATCTGTCTGGGGATCAACTGTGCTCACAGCCTCCCCACTAGACACCTGTGCGTGTGTGTGAGTGTGTGTGTGTGTGTGTGTGTGTGTGCGTGTCCACAAACAGCCCATAGCTACGTGTGTATGTGGAGAGGATCACTTACTATGGCTCAAACGTGTGAGCAGAGGGATGTAAAGGAAGACGCAAGTGAAAATAAGATGTCAGATGTCCACAGTGTCACCTAAAGACAAGGTCATTCCAACCACAACAGAACCGGAGAGCAGCAGGAGGAGACGTCCCAGTCAAACCAGTGTGATGAAGAGGATGGAGATTGGGTTCACATGTGCCAAATAATTAAAGGACACATCTTATGCTATTTTTAGATCTGTTGTTGTTGTTGTTGTTGTTGTTGTTGTTGTTTCCTCATCAAAGACGTACTTGGAGTTGTATTTTGTTTCATTCACACATTTTTAACACATCATCGCCTTCACTAGAGTCATTTGAATCATCTCAATACTGGAATTGCCAATCTGAACAAAAGGTAAAAGGTAGCTGTTAACATGGAAACTACCACTTCATGACATCACAAGGTGGAACAGATCATTTTGAGCTTTGGAGATGTAGATTAATAATGCAGGATTATTCAAAAGTGTGTGAATGAAACAAAACTCCAAATATTTTTTTATAACATGGCTTAAAGCTCACAGTAGTCATGTATGCATAATATAGGACTTTTAAAAGAAAATGGATGTTTATCTAAGAAGAGGGGAGGAAGATGAGGGGAAGGCATAAGATACATTCAGTAAATTAAGGTTAAAGTGTTTGAAATAACTTGTCTCACACAGGGCTGTCCTTGAGACGAAAAGAACAGCCCTGATTGTGAAACAACACACGGTGCTAAAATGTTGCTCACTTATGCAATTCATAAGACAATGGGAAAAAAATGCTAACACCTGCTCATTGTATCCCATAGAACTAAAGAAAAAATCTATTCAGGAATGATGCCATATTTCAAACGTGGCTCACATCTTTGGTTCAATAAACAGAACAATAAAAGCAGTAAATATGTAAATATGTATGGCATCAGCATCACCATGAGGGTCAAGTCTATAGTTTTAAACTGACTATAAAGTAAAACGATTTACAGTGTTGAAATGGAGGCTCAAACTAGAAATCGCTTACTTAGTGGGCCCATATTATGCTATTTTCACACACATTATAATGTTTCCTTATCACAAACATACCTGGAGTTGTGTTTTGTTTTATTCACACATGTTTAACCCTGCATTTTTAGTTCTTTTCACAAAGAGAAAACTCTCCGTTCCACCTTGTGATGTCATGCGGTGATACAGAAAGTGCACCACTGAGTTTTTAAATTCCGTACACCTTCACTAGAGTCATTTGGGAAATTTCAGCTTTGGAACTGAGCATTTCTACTGAACTAAAGGTAAAAGGAGCTGTTAACTTGAAAACTACTGCTTCATGACATCACGAGGTGGAAGTAAGCATGTTGAGCTTTGGAGATGTAGACAATATAGACTAATCATGCAGGACCACTCAAACATGTGTGAATGAAATAAAACACAACTCCTGGTGTGTTTTTGATGAGGTATCAACATTATAACATTTCTTAAAGCTCACAAGAATCCATTTTGCACAATATAGGACCTTTAAATGCAGACAGAAAACTACATTTCAATTTCAATACTGCAATATACAACTAAACAATAGAGTACAAGTGGCTTAGGGGTAGGGTTAAAGCACACATTCCTGTCTTAAACATTCAACTCGCAGATCTGACAATTGCTCTCCCTACCTCATTTCCCATATTATATTGCACTGTCTGTAAAGCCTATGCCAAAATATTATGTGTGATTTGACAAAAAGACAATTAGAAGGGCATCTGATGTAAAAACCAAAACCAATAAATCTCCAAAAAGAAGAATTTCCATACACACTGCAGTAGACATGATCAGATGTGTAGTTTTATAATGGCAGCATGAGAGACAACACTGAGGGAGGCAGCTGAAGTGCTTGTCTAACACTCACACTGGAGTGGTCCCCTCTGGTCTGACTCCTCTCTGCCTCTGGTCTGTGTAGAGCCATTAATTATGAAGCAGGGAACCACACACAGGGCTGTCCTTGAAGACGAAACAAACAGCCCCCGCTTGTAAAAGAGCAAACGGGGCTAAAATGTTGCTCACTTGTGCAATTTATAAGACAATGGAAATAAATGGAAGCACTTGCTCAGAGTAATGTTTCTATTCATATTTGTACAATAGGACAAAGCCCCAGTTCGATGAATGAGGGCGATAGAGGCATTTCAGGTTACAGCTCACTATCAGGTGGTGTGAACATAAAATATTAACAATAGCAGTACACAGTCGCATTAGCTTACTACATTCTCACATGTAAAGTATCTTGGATTTTTTTTTACTCAGAAATCTTCTTATCTACAGCAATATACACTACCAGTCAAAAGTTTTAGAACACCACGCTTTTTCAACACTTTTTCAGTATTCTAAACTTTTAATTCATGAAAGTGTCCACCTTTGGCAGATATAACAGCTGAACACACTCGTGGCTCATTCTTTTTATAATAAAAATCAAATATTCTTCGGAAAGTTCTTCCCAAGTCTGTTGCAGAGGTTCCCATAAATGTGTGGCACTTGTAGGTTGCTTGGCTTTCACTCTTCTGTCCAGTTCATCCCAAATCAGCTCAATGGGGCTTAAATCTGGAGACTGTGCTGGT